TACATGTTTCATTGACTTCGTAAAGGCATTCGATAAAGTGAGACACGAACCGCAGATGGAGATGCTGGGAGGGTTGGATATAAATGCAAAGGACATTTGAGATACTGAAGAACCTGTACTGGGACCAAACTGCAGCGATCAGAGTAGATAATACCTTGAGCAAATATCTTGAGATCCACCGAGGAGTCAGACAAGGATGTATGGCATCACCAGACCTGTTTGGATTGTACACAGAGATGATAATGCGGCGCCGGGAGAGTGAGGAAGGTGTAAAGATCGGAGGTGTGGACAGTACTAACCGCGGATGATTCGGTCGTTTTAGCTGACTCGAGTGAAAGACTACAGCATCTTTTAGATGTGGCGGCGGGGAAAAGTGCAGATATGGGGCTCTCGATCAACAAGAAAAAAATTCAAAGTATCAATATCAAGACAAAAATACGTGTGATGAAATGTTACGTGTGGTCTGTCCTGTCGTATGGTATTGAAACTTGGACGATCAGCAAAGCGATAAAGAAAAGGCTAGAAGCTACGGAAATGTGGTTCCTGAGAAGTATACTAGATATACCATAGATCGAAAGGGTGACAAACGAAAACGTGTTGAGAAGAACAGGAGAGAAAAGATCATTATCGAAAGGACTGAACCAAAGACAGGTGAGTTTTTTTTCAGCCACGTAATGAGAAAAGAAATACTTGAATGTTTGGTAACAGCGGAGAAAATTGAGAGGAAAGACCGAAAGGAAAGCAAAGAAGATTTAGAAGCATGGCTGAGGCGCTGAACATCAACAGGATCAACGTCTTAACGTCGGCGAGGAACAGACAGAAGTGGAAAGACATGACCGCCAACGTCATGCGATGACACGGCACTTGACTAGACTAAGACCTCGAGTAAATAGTAGATATTCAATCCTATTCGCATAGCTTTATATATATATATATATATATATATATATATATATATATATATATATATATATATATATATATATATATATATATATACACAGACATTCATATATACATGTGTGTGTGAGTATATATATATATGATTGTGTGTGTGTGTGTGTGTGTGTGTGTGTGTGTGTGTGTGTGTGTGTGTGTGTGTGTGTGTGCCTGTGTGTACATATATGTGTATGTGTGTGTGTGTGTGTGTGTGTGTGTGTGTGTGTGTGTGTGTGTGTGTGTGTGTGTGTGTGTGTGTGTGCCTGTGTGTACATATATGTGTATGTGTGTGTGTGTGTGTGTGTGTGTGTGTGTGTTTGTGTGTGTGTGTGTGTGTGTGTCTGTGTACATATATGTGTATGTGTGTGTGTGTGTGTGTGTGCGTGTGTGTGTGTGTGTGTGTGTGTGTGTGTGTGCCTGTGTGTACATATATGTGTATGTGTGTGTGTGTGTGTACCTCCTATCGCCCTATCCCCCCATCCGTTGCTAAGGACAGAACGAAGATGATACCTAACCCCCCCCCCCAGCCTTGCTTTAACCCCTCTCCCTATTTTGTTAACTTTCCTTCTGTCTCGCCTTCTCGTTCGCTTCATCTTCTTTTCTTTTCACCCTGCCTCCCTCTCTTCATTTCCTTTCCCCTCTCCTCTGTGTTCTTCTTCGCCCCCTCCCTATTCCCCTTTCTCCTATCCCCTTTTCTCTTCCCCCGTGTTCACTATCCTCCCTCGTTTTCTATTCGTCCCCAGAGCAGTACATTCCCCTCTCCTCCCCCCCCATTCTCTTTATTCCCTCCCCTCTCTTCCCCTTCCCTTCCCCCCCCCATTCCCTCCATTCCACCCTGTTTTCTTAATTCTCTCAGATCCCCCCCCCCTTTTCTCCCCTCTTTTCTCCTTCCCTTCCTCTTCCCTTCACCCTGTTCTCTCAATACCCTCCGCTCTCTTCTCCTCTCCCTCCCCCCCTCTCCTCTCCTCTCCTTCCCCTTAATCTCATCTGCTCTCCAGTCCTCCCTTCCCCTCTGCTCCCCTCTCCCCTCTCCCCTCTCCCCCTCTCCCCCTCCCCCCTCATCTATCCCAAATACCCTCCTCCCTCTCCCCTCTCCCCTCATCCCCCTCTCCCCTCTTCCCTTCTCCCCCTCTCCCCCTCTCCCCCTCCCCCTCATCCATTCCAAATACCCTCCTTCCTTCTCCATACCCATGGACCCCCTCCCCCTCCCTCCCCTCCCCCCTCCCCCTCCCCCTACACACCCTCCGCCTCCCCTACCCCCCCCCCCTACACACCCGTATCCCCCGGCTGTCACATCCCATTTGACTGAACCGGAACTGACTGCGATGACGTCAGCGTGACAGTGTCAGAGCTACTGCTGACAGCCGCCGTGGCACGCTGGGTCAACAGGGCTCGGCGGCTCCGTCTGTCATGTACATTTTCTGTCATGTTCCAGATTTGTCTGTCTCGCTCCTTTATCTCTCTCTTCTGCTTGGCTATCATCTGTGATTTTTTCTTTCTTTTTTGTATGTATGTGTTTATTTTGTGGTTTTATTTAATCACTTGTGTGTGTGTGTAGATA